ACCACCTGTAAAAGAATGAAACTAGAACACTTTCTAACACCATACACAAAAATAAACTCAAAATGGATTAAAGATCTAAATGTAAGACCAGAAACTATAAAACTCCTAGAGGAGAACATAGGCAAAACACTCTCTGACATAAATCACAGCAGGATCCTCTATGACCCACATCCCAGAATTTTAGAAATAAAAGCAAAAATAAACAAATGGGACCTAATGAAACTTAAAAGCTTTTGCACAACAAAGGAAATTAACTTCTTTAAAATATATGCTGAAGATGTGTGTAAAAGTCGCTCAGTCACATCCAACTCTTTGTGACCCCATGGACTATACTGTCCATGGAATTCTCCAGGCCAGAATACTGGAGTGGGTAGCCTTTCCCTTCTACAGGGAATCTTCCCAACCCAGGGATCGAAGATACCGTATTCTTATTCACTGCAATAAACCTTTCATTCACCTCAAAATTTTGTTTGCTGACTAAGTATCTGGACTAGAAGAAGAGGAAGCTATGAACAGTGTGACATATGCCCCCCACTTTCCAAGGGCTTATCTGTTAACGCTCAGGAAACTGATGGGATATCCTGCTCCAGCCACTGGGTAAGAAGGCCCAGTGCACTATGGACCAACCAGTTTCCTTCTTTTTTCCCGCCCTTCTCGTCTTTTGCAACCCTCCTTAACAGTGTTCCCTCAGGTCTCCCCCATGGTGTTATGACACCTTCTAAGAACTGACAGTAAACTCAGGACATCTTTGATCAAAGAGTAAAAATTTAGAGCTCATGCTCCCTGTGAAGATGAAATTCCTTAGTGTGTTCCGTGTTCACAAAGGAACCAAACGAGCAATTCTAAAGCTAGGTCTGGGTTCTACAGGTCTTCCATCAACTGTGTGACCTTAATCAAGGGCACTTAAACTCTAAGGGTGACAAGTCTATATCTATAACATTAAGGAGTGTGGCTTGATTTCAAAAGAAGTGGCATTCCATGGACAAAATAGCCAAGTGAGCTGTACTTACTGACTCATTCAACAATGCATGGGGAAAAAGTTCAGAGGAGCCTAAGAAAAGTAAATTTTTCCAGTTTCCCAGCCAACAAGCTGAAATTTCACCTGGAGTAGAATGTCAGGTGGAATGATTATAAGAGCAAAATATTTATGAAACTTAGCAGAAGACAGGATGGAGGAAAGAAGTGTCCCAGGGTAGATTGGCAATGACCTCAAAGTGCTGAGTTAGTGTGAACCAAGAGCAGGGAAATGAGACCAAAGCCCTCTCCAAGACATAGATCCAATCAGTAAGCTTGGAGAGAGGACTCACTTTGGAGCCTTGCATAGAAATAGGTTGTGTAAATCGACGGACGTAACTTCTGCAGCTTCTACATCAATTCTATGACTTCAAAAGGCACTTCTGGTACCATCTACTATATTCTCACTAACTTATCCTCTTAATATGACAATGAGATGATCCTTCAATAAAAGGCATTTGTTATTCAAATCAAATCACACAGTGGATAAGATGTAGAATTGAATAAGACTAGGGTAGAATGCCAGTTCATTTATTAAGTGTATTGTCTTGTACAAATCCATCCCCCTGTGCCCCGGATTCCTCATCTTCAAAATGGAGATGATAACACCTCTCAAGTTTATTGTGCAGTTTAATGGAATATGCAAAGTACTTGGCACAGTGCCTGGCACATGGAAATAAGTCAACTCATAAGTTGGAAAAAATCCTTTGTCAAACTGCATGTTTTGATTTCAAGTTTGAAAAACAAGGGCACTCACCAGCTCTAGAATAGTGCATACTTCATAAGAGATTTCCCAACTTTCATTAAATATATACCCGCAACCAACCATCTCCCACCACACACAAACACACACACACAGTACCATTAGATCATTGCTTAGAACTGGATTAAGCAGTTAGAATACAGAGATGAATGGATATGCACCTGTCCTCAAGGAACTCACAAAGAGAAGAGATAACCATCTGAACAAAGACTATATAATAATGTGGTAAAAAGAACTAGTAAAGGTGTAGGGCTAGCAGAGAAGATGTAACAATTACCTATCTAGGTGGGTCGGGAAAACCTCACTAGAAGAGGTGACACCTGAGAAAGGCTGCTGTGAATGAAGAGGGGTTTGCTAATCAAACTCCAGAAAGATGAGGACACTGCAGGCAGACGGAAACCTGAAACTGAATTGTGTTCAGAGACCTATGTCCTGCGCCTGCCATGGCACTCACTCTATGGGGATACTGGAGAGGGAAACTCTAAGCAGGTACAAAACAACCCTGATCACCCCAAATGATTGCAGCCTGATTCTTCAAGTATTCCATTTCCCCAAAATGACCGTGAACTCGTACTATGATAAAAAAACATCTTGAAGGAACAGTTTCAGTTATGCTTCTTTTGAGTATTGGGACATATTGGCTAATCATCTCTTGAAGAATCTCTCAAAGAATGAGACCCAAAACGCTGCAAGCATAACTAATTTCTATTCCCGGGATGCCTGGCTTTTCTGCAATCAAGAGAATCGGGAATGTGATGTGTTTCATCAAAGGCTCAGTATCCCCAGGAGGAAGCCATAACCTGTGAAATTCCAGGAGAGAAAGAGAAGTCCAGAGGATGGAGGCCAAGGCCAACAGAAGGAGTGGCTATATGTTTACCACAGGATTCTGTGAACCACAAAGGAGAGGAGAGGGCCTCAGCAAAGTAATCCCAGCCTTTGGAATTATTTGCTTTTCAGTGCTAGGGAACAGACAGTTCAGCCCTTACTCAGTCACTTCCTTGAAGGAGTGCATGCTCATTAACAAAGCATGCCTTGAGTAATCAGGAACTTCTGAACTCTAATCCCAGCTACTGACTGACAGTGAAAAAAGTTCCTCTTTCCCTCTCCAGACCTCTGGTTATTAAAAACAAACAACAACTATCACCCCCAAAACTTATTATTCTAAACTCATGTCACACAGATGTTTCAGTTAACTTGCTAATGAATGGTCCTAAAATCCTCCGTGTAAATGATTCTCTTCTCAGTTTCAGAGCTCAATCACCATATAAACATAGCCTAGGAATGCGTGATGTGCATAATCCCTTTAAATTTCTGGAGCTGAGGCATTCTTTCTTTACCAGTCACTAGATGTGTGGTTGCCTTTTGAGAAAAGTGTGTAATGACTCAAGTAAGAAATTGTATGATGAACAACACATAAATACTCTCTTCCCAAACTACCAGGTTTATTTTTGTGATAAACTGTGAACCCATGCCTTTCTTTTCTCTTTATAGTTGTTGTTCAGTCGCTAAGTCATGTCTGACTCCCTCGTGAACTGCAGCACACCAGGCTTTCCTGTCCTTTACTGTCTCCTAGACTTTGGTCAAACTTATGTCCATTGAGTCGGTGATGCTATCCAACAATCTCATCCTCTGTTGCCCCCTTCTCCTCCTGCTCTCCATCTTTCCCAGCAACAGTCTTTTCTGATTAGTTGGCTTCTTTTCTCTTGCATGTGGTTGAAGCCATTTTTATTGCCAGGTGTGCCCAAGAATTCATACTGAATAATTAGAGCCAGAGAATACTGCCACGTGTACTTGTCTGTTTTTATAAGTGCTTCAGCCCCTCAGAGTTTAATTCTCATCCCCAGAGCTAACTTATTGGTCCTGGGAAGATGACAGTGATTTGTAATTTGGATCCTATGTCTAAACTTCCTTGTGAACATGCAGTATAATTTTACAGATAAAGTGGCATCAGTAATGCCTTTTTCTCATAAATAACACATTATTATGTTTGGTTATAGTGTTAACATTAAAATCAAAATGCTATCCATGTTGGATCACAGCCCTTCAGAACCATCTTACCTTGCAGGTACATGCAGTGCAGTTATCATAGAGAAAAGAAGATCCATTGTCATAAACATCACTGCGAAAGAGGCAGCTTCCAAATGGGAGGTCAAACACTTTCCTTTGACCTAGAAAGACGCAATGGCATAGTGTTAGCAAGACAGAAGTCAGGGATGTCCCACTTCATCATCAGCAATTATAGCACAGGACTGTTAAACATTCCCACAAGACCAGATAAATCTAGTGCACAAATACAGAGCCATGCGTCACATGTTTCTAGGGGATTCCAAGGAATCATGACTTCAAAGAGTTTTTGCTGAAGAGAGTTTGATTCCATACTGAATCTTGTAAGTTTAACAAATCTTTATTATGAGTTCATCCTAGTGAACCAGGATGACTAAGACATCCTGGCCCAATGGAGCTTAGGCTACTGGGGAAACAAATCCACAAAAGATGATTTCAATACAATAAGGCAGTCAGTTCTGGAAAGAAGCCAATCTAGGAACTGTGTGGACAGGGAAGACAGAGCAGACTTTTTGGAGGATGCGCTGCCTGAGCTGTATCTTAAAGAATGAGTAAAATTATCCAGAAAGTGGGTGTTGGCAGGGAAGAGGCAGGAGAAGTCAAGATATCCAAAGAAGACTAGGATGAGCAAAAAGAAAAACTAATGAGATAGTATCTCAGTTGAAGAAATGACAAGTCCATTGGCATCAAGGGTGATGCTAACTCAAAGATCACATAGAGGAAGAATCCAATTCCACACACCCAGTGTTCAACCTCACACAGTCATCACACCTCTTGCAGAATTACCTTGGTTCTCCCTGACGTAAGGATTTGATTGGTGACCCAAAAGGCAAAAAAAATCAACCCCAAATAGTGTAATCCAATTTCCTCCTTTCTTTCAGTATTTGAGTTTCTACTCCCTGGAGCACATAAAAATATCTCTGAAATGTTACTTCAATTAAGGACTAAGTTGAGAATTCCCACCCTCGCCTTCTCCCAGAGTCCACAAGTCTGTTCTATACATCTGAGTCTCTTTTTCTGTTTTGCATATAGGGTTATCGTTATCATCTTTCTAAAGTCCATATATATGTGTTAGTATACTGTAATGGTCTTTATCTTTCTGGCTTACTTGTGATAATTTTAACTTGGGTCCCACATACAGACTCCCGGGTGACCTTGAGCTTGATTTCTCCAGGCCTGACTTAGTTCACTTGTCATAAAATGATATCAAAATGTCTCCTCCCAATAACACATTACCATCTCTAACTACAATGTCAGTGCTAAAGTATACCATCAAAAACTTTTTTATGTTTATATAAAATTTAGCATAATGACTGTATGTGCACCTAACAATTAGCAATATCCCAACTGAAACAGGCATTCTTCTGTGTATACTCAGGTTCTGAGTCTTTTGAAGTTTGTAAAAATTACAGATTAAATCAGAGGATTACCTGAAAAATACAGAATTCATCCTTTCTCTAGGTCTTCCTCTAGGTAACTCCCAAGGGTTGTCTGAAGCATCAGAAATCTGTGTGCAGGCCACCCACCCCATCAGAATCACACCGGTCATATCACATCTTGATTTAGGACACTCTATAAAAGAGTGTCACCCCTGAGCAGAAAAACCCCTAAGCAGATATTTTTTTTAATTTTACAGAAATGATGGTGACATTATTTTTCACTGCTTTAAACACTGTCCTCTATATTATTCCATCAAAGACATATATCTGTCCTTTAAGAATTAAAAACAGCTCTGCTTCAATTGAGTATTTGTTTCAAATTGTGATAACATGGTTTGCCTTGTCCTGTCTTTTATTATATATATTATTATATATTATATTATTATAGTTAGACTGGTGGATTGATACATCAGTAGACTACTGAACAAAAAAGGCTTGAGTTTAACCTCCCTGCACAAATATGACCAATGGCAGATAAGTAGTATCATTATTAGAGGTGGTATAATTCAAATAGGTTTCCCAGGTGGCACAGTGGTAAAGAATCCACCTGCCAATTCAGGAGATGTGGGCTCAATTCCTAGGTCAGGAAGATCCCCTGGAGAAGGAAATGGCAACCCACTCCAGTATTCTTGCTTGGAGAATCCACATGAACAGAGGAGCCTGATGGGCTGCAGTCCATGGGGTCCCAAAGAATCAGACACAACTGAGCAACTGAGCACACAGCACATATAATTCAAATCTGATCTTGGGCCGTGTGACTCTAAGAGGTGCATCGGGGGCAAAAGGCAGGGGTATGTTGTGTGAATGAATCCTGCTCAAGGGAAAACTGAACAGCAAATCAGTGTCTCAAAATCCAAAAGTCTATTTAGCCTAAAATTTCAGCATCTACTAAGCATTGCTGTGTTTACCTTTTTTTTCCTCCTGTCTTCTGTTGTGTGGGTAGGTTTCTTTCTACTGTCAAAGAACATACAATCTTACCTAAATCCCAAAGTCATCATGGCTCAAAATAAGATAAAACATTCAAAAGAATGGTTCAGAGACTTCATGTATAGCCTAATTTAAGCCATTTCCACTTTATTCCACTGGGGCTTAGCCCAGCAGTAAAGGTCTCATTTGGGAGAATTAGAATTTTTATTTCCTAAGACTTACTGTTCCTTTTGTAGTCCGACTTATGACCACAAACAGACAGAAAAATCTGCATTCAATACAACAGCCATTGTTCATATGAGAATCTGATCTGACTCAGCATATCCACGATACCAGCTTCAGAGCTTTAATCAAGCCTGCTGCTGCTGCTGCTGCTAAATCGCTTCAGTTGTGTCCATCTGTGCGACCCCATAGATGGCAGCCCACCAGGCTCCTCCATCCCAGGATTCTCCAGGCAAGAATACTGGAGTTGGTTGCCATTTCCTTCTCCAATGCATGCACGCATGCTAAGTCGCTTCAGTCATGTCTGACTGTGCAAGCATATGGACAAAAGCCCACCAGGCTCCTCTGTCCACAGGATTCTCTAGGCAAGCCTACTTATCTTCAAGTTGAGGCCCCCAGGCCACACCTCCTCTGGGATGACTTTCTCACTTAGATGGGGCCCTGTTCCCACCATGACCCACAGCATGATGATTTCAACAACAGTGAACTGGCTACTTCTCTTCTGGGGGCACAAGCACACGTGGGCAACCCAAGAAGCACACACATCAGTGGAAATGCCTTCAGTCAGTCATGTCTAAACAATTCTCCTTTGCTCTGATAATATCTATGAAATTACTTTAAAAGCAGGTGCGTCTTAGTGTGTGTTTGCGTGTGTATATACAGAGGGAAGGCAAACATTATTAGATGAAGAGTTAGCAGCAGAGTCCTTCAAAGAAGAGAAAGCTGCCTTCATTTAACAAGATACGTTTATTGGCCAATTCAGTTGTAGAAAGATAGACTTCAGGGTATGGCTATGATAAGCTGGGAATGATAAAAATAAATCAACAGGGGTTTCGACTGGAGGAAGCAAAGTATGAAAGAAAAGACAGAAGATTCAAGGAAAGAGTGTGGACAGTAAGGATTGGAGGCTGGACTCCACAGAAAAGAGACAAACAGTGATATTTTCCTAAAGGCAAAGTAGCTGAGACCTTTTAAGAAGAAAGCGAGCTTAATATTTCAGTTTCTGTTATTCATTGTGCTTCCCTGAAAAGTAATCAGCCTCTCTTACTGTAAACCTTCAGCGAAATCCCCTGCACAAGCCTTGATTCAATAGCACCGCAGAATGTGAAAAGACAGGGTGGGGAGGTTTTCCTGAAAGGACAAAATGATGTTGAAGAAGCAGATGGAGGAGGGAAAGGAAGAGGAACAAAAATGGGAAGAGAAGGAGGAGGAGGTAGAAGAGGAAGAGGTAGGGAACAAAGAGAAAAAAGCAGCAGGAGCAAAAACACAAAGCCAGCGGTGACTTGGGAAAATAGAAGCCAAGGATCCCTGGAGATACTGGTGGGGATGCTGCATATTCTATTGTATTCATTAGATGGATCAAGCTACTCTTATGTGAATCTTAAACAGTCAAGCTCAATCAACTCAATGACCTAAAGGCCACATGGAAGAAGCTGATATATAGATGACGAATAAAAACCAAAGGATTCCGTGCTCTAGAGACCCTCCTTCCAGGGCGTTCCTCTTCAGGTGCTAACACGTGCACTACTCTCCATGTTACCAGGAAAGCTGAGCAGCACCAGGTTAAATCGTGGGCTTGGGAATTACAGAGACTCAAGTTCAGGAGCCAGCTCCTAGCTCACTAGCTGTGCTACCTTCTAGGAATTCTACTTCTTTCTCAGCACAAAACTAATAATGGTACCTATGTTATTAATACACATCAGAATTCTATACTTAGCACCTCTAGGTCACAGACTCTTGAGAAAATTAAATGAGAAAAAAGTTCCTGAAGTTTTCACACGGTACCTAGTACATAATAATTGTTCAAAAAGGAATAGCTAATCCTCTTTTTTATTGACTTTTTCATTATTCCCTTCCAAACCTCTTGTTTGAGGCATGTTATCCTCCTGCATGTTGTTGCCTCTAAAAAAACACTCTATTCCTCCCTCTGTTTACTTCATATGCCTTTATTTATTTATTTTTCTTGTTTGGTCATGCTTTGAATCATGTGCGATCTCAGTTCCCTGACCAGGGATTGAACCCTCGCGCCCCTGCCCCCATCCCCCATCCAACCTCCACATTGGTAGTACAGAGTCTTAACCACTGGACTGCCAGGGAAATCCTCACATGCCTTTAAAATACATTCCTACTAAATGTCAGATGTCCAGTTAAAGACAGTTTCTCAATGTTGTTCTCCCCACAAAAATACATTGCTACTAATCATCATATTTCCAATTAAAGATGGTTCCCTCAGTACCATTCTCCCCACAAGAGGCTAGTATCCCAGGGTGTCTGGGATACCAGGTTTACAACTACAGGGGAAGAAAAGAGAAAAGAAAGTTCTGGGGAGGCTCAGAAGTGAAATAAACCCTTGTACACACCTTGGTGGTGATTTATTCTCTCAGATGTGCCCAACTCTTGCGACCCCATGGTCTTGTAGCCCACCAGGCTCCTCTGTCCCTGGGATTCTCCAGGCAAGAATACTGGAGTGGGTTGCCATTTCCTCCTCCAGGGGATCTCCCCGACCCAGGTATCAAACCCGGGTCTCCTGCATTGTGGGTGGATTCTTTACCTACTGAGCCACCACACCTTACACTCAGGTAATCAGAAGAAGGTGTTGTCTCTAAGAAGCCACGAAATAGCACAACTTGAGAACCTCAAGTTAACAAAGCAGACGACTCTCCACAGAAACTCCCAGAATAAATTACATTGTTCTTTGACCTGAAAACATTCACTCACCCAAACATTTGGGGCAGCACTGTCCTGGGGGAATGTGGCTAAGATGCTGAGGACAGGAGAGAATGGGACAGACTTCTCTCACGCACTGTGTCCTGCCTCCCTAAAGAAAAGAGAAGGAGAAAAAAGCACATTTAGAAAAGTACGTGCATATATATAGTGTCTAACCAAACTATCTGGAACAAACCTAGGCCTTTCCTGAGGTTGTTCCCGGGGTGATTGCTCAGACCTGGGCAACTGCCCCTAGGTATCCTGCGCTCTTCCCCGTGGATGCCATGAATCGTACCCATGAGAAGACTGCCTCTAAAGTGATGGGTACACCATCACCTCTCCCCACTCACTGCCACTACCACCTTTATCTTTTTTTTCTTCTTGAAGTGAAAGTGAAAGTCACTCAGTCATGTCAGACTCCTTGCAACCCCGTGGACTGTAGCCCACCAGGCTCCTCCGTCCATGACATTCTCCAGGCAAGAATAAGGGTGGGTTGCCATGCCTCCTCCAGGGGATCTTCCCAAACCAGAGACTGAATCCTGGTCTCTTGCATTACAAGCAGAGTCTTTACCATCTGAGCCACCTGACCATTCTGGCTCTTAAGACCAACCAACCCTCTTGGTTTGGCTGAGATTTGAGGCTTTCCGTACTATAACCAGGAAACGTCTCTGGCAAACCCAGACAGGTTGGCCTCTCTTTCCAAGCCCAAGGCAACAAAGCAACTTTGGGGGTTCTACTGAGATGTGTCTTCCTCTTTTAGGCCCCCATCTTTCTAGTCCTGCAGTAAAGCTTCCTCCAGGAAGACTTCCCTTTGGGTCACTCCTTAATGGTGTTGCTGGAATGACTCAGCAAGGCTCAGATTTGGGGAAGTTAGTCAATCTGCTGAAAATGGATACACTGGAAGCCAACATTCAGAAGAACCATTTCACTGAAGTCACTCAGCTAATCTAATCTGTTTCTATGAATCAAATAGAAGATTTATGATGACTGATATTAAAAAGACTTCAGCAGCCTCGGAAAATCTTCTAGAGTCTTCAGATCTTTCATTGTCTCTCATTCTTGACCCTTTCTGTCCTCCAGCATCCATCACCTCTGACATCCATTCCTTCTCTTCCTCAGTATCCCCTGCTTCCCTGTCCATTAGTATCTCTTGCCCCTCCGGGATGTGAAGATGAGCGTAGCAACTTCCTTTCTCCATTCCTTAGCAGGGATACCTATTTTTCCAGCCTCAGCAACTTGTAACTGAATTCCATAAAGCCAAGACAAAAAAAAAAAAAATTGGGCTTTCCAGTCAATTTATATTCAACAGCTTTGCAAGGCTCAAGTGAAAACTATCTGGTGCAATATGAATTACTATCAAATTGCAGAATAATTCAGTTTTTTTTTCTTCACCAAAAAAAAAAAAATCAGTAAATTTAGTAGATCAATCACTAGGCAAATGACATTTCAATGAATTGGCTTCTCTAAAATTTGAGCTGGAAACCAAACTAGTAGACCCTCAAAAGTACCCGTTGCCTCAAGCCTGGAATTTTTATCTTGAGAGGCCTCAGGAAATAAGCAACTCACGCCTCAAAGAGCCCTGGGCCTCGCAAGGGAAAGATTCCCTCATAGTGTTTCCTCACACCTTCTCCAGCACTCTCTGTATTAACACCAGACATTAGCCGTCTGGATCCTATTCATTCCCATCCGAGCACACTACTATCGCCTGTTGTTTCTGCTTTCCCTTCCTATTCCTGCCATTTTCATTATGCAAGTTTTATTTTTTGGTAGGGACAGATGAAAAGGGTAGAGCATGTTATGTCTTTTTAAATATTTATTATTTTTAAGCCACTTTAAGGTTGGCTTCTTCCCCAAACCAATAGAAAACACACAAAAATACCACAAAAAGTTCTTCTGTTGTTTTTACATTATTTCCAGATCAGCATGAATCACTAAAACTCTCCCAGGAATCCCTAGCTGTTCTCAGTGAGTTTCCTCACTCAACTGCATAATCCTGGACTCTGGCTCATCACCAGACTTCAGAGGTGCATAACCTGAGTCTTGGTCACACTCTGAGGTCTGCCCCAGCTTATACATAAACCACAAAAGTCAAATCTAGAGGGAGGCAGAAGGCTGTCCTTAGCTTTTAACTTCCTCAATTCTCGAAGCCTTGGGCCACACGAGGTTGCCTGGATGTCGGCTTCTCTTAGGGTGCACAGAGAATGTATTCTTTTCATCAATATTCTCTGTTCTTGTTGGATCAGCATCTATTTTTCAAGCATATTTTAAAATGAAAATTTAAGAAAAATATTGCATAGTTGCATGGCCGTTAACTTGTCCAACACACTGGAAAGCTGGCCAGAGACTGTGTACACTCCAGTAATTTTCCTTACAATAAGGTCAAAGAGTGAATTTTGCATACATAATACAACTGCAGTTTGTGTCTCCCTAGAGTCTGTTAAAGTAACTTGAACTCCAATTTAAGTTTGCTGCTTTGGTCAGGTTTTATTTTGTTTGAGTTGCAGAATTGTGGCATAGCCCAAGTCCCGAGGCTGCATTCCAATTAATACCTCCAAAGAAAGTCCCAGGCCCTTTCAGCTCACAACCTGCTTCTATGATTTCAACTCAGCAGGGACTCTGGCTAAACTATAAGCCAGGGCTTTGCTGTAAACCAAGAAAGTTAAAAAAGCAGAAGCAAACATTTCTGGTTCTAAAAGTGCAATAATTCCTACTGTAATTGCACTAAATCAACTCTATCAGATTATCACCCTCGCTTTCTAATTAACTTACCTGCCTCAGCTTTCTTTCCATGAGTCCATCCTGCAAGGTTCAATATCTCCAAGACTCCTATCCAGCATCCACAACTGTTTCATTATTTGCGCTAAGATTTATTCAAGGTTTACAATATGTTGGGATTACCAGCAGTGAATATAACATACCAAAAAAATTATTCTTTATAGAGCATGTCCATATGTTAAGGTGGAGGATGACTTAACCATAACATTCAGGGGAAAGTTCAACCCACTCAAGCTAAAAGTCCATGTAGAAATGACTAGGTGCCCACTAGAATCTTTTTTTCCTCCTGACACAGAGCCAATCTGTATTTCCCAGGCTCCCTTACTGTTAGGGGTGGCCAGTGGGAGGTAGACGGCAATCTCTCACACTAAAGCAGGCTGAATGCCGAAGAACTGATGCTTTTAAACTGAGGTGTTGGAGAAGACTCTTGAGAGTCCCTTGGATTGCAAGGAGATCAAGCCAGTCAATCCTGAAGGAAATCAATCCCAAATATTCATTAGAAAGACTGATGCTGAAATTGAAGCTCCAATACTTTGGCTACCTGATGGAAAGAGCCGACTCATTGGAAAAGACCCTGATGCTGGGAAAGATTGAAAGCAGGAGAAGGGGATGACAGAGGATGAGATGATTGGATGGCATCACTGACTCAATGGACCTGAGTTTGAGCAAACTCCAGAAGACAGTGAAGGGCAGGGAGGCCTGGTGTGCTGCAGTTCGTGGGGTCACAGAGTTGGATACAGCTGAGTGACTGAACAACAAGGTGCCATGCTCTCAAGAATTTTGCAATAACGTGGAAGAGCCTCTTCCCTGAGTCACCAATGGAAGTCTACCCACTAAACACCTGCAAGGAACTGCTAAATGAGCAAGAAATAAATTTTATCATGTTAACACTTGAATGCATCAGTTCTTTATTACCCCAGTGAGGCAACTTTGTCAAGATACCCCATAATCTTTTCTCCAATCTCCTTTCCTTCCAACACCAACACAGAGAGGGGATTCCAGTTTATCTTATTTCTTTCCTGTTCCCAAACATATCTTATGCCTTCTCTCTTCTTTATATATGCATCTTTCCCTTTCTGTCCCCATCACTGACCCCTATGGAAATTCTGCTTCACTCAAGGTCTATTTCATGCCTCTTCTCTTCTGTAAAGTGTTCTAGACCCTTTCAATTCCCAACAACCTCCTCTATAATCCTGTATCTTTTCTTTTCTCATCTACACTCTTGATATTTTTGACACATACATGAACATTTAACCCTGACAGACAACACTGGCTTTACCTCTAAGCTAGACTATGGTATGGGCAAGAGCCAGTCCTTTGAGCCTACTATCTTTCTTCAGACTCAAGGAAACATCTCAATAAAAATCCACTGAATGAAAGGAAGAGCCACCACATATAATGAGCTCCAGAATCCAGGTAAATTTTTCAGAGCACTTCAACTGCAAGATGCTGATGAGACGGCAGAGTTCAGGGCTGTCTGCATCCCTTACCTTTGTATCTCCTTGGGTTTTGCATAATTTGTGTACCAACTAAATGTTTGTTAGTGCCAATATTTCAAAAACCATCCCTCAACTTCAATTTTTAAAGATGGCATGAGTCCTAGTATCTATGCATTTTGTCTAACATTTGAAAATGTCTAAACGGTCAAAATGCATAGGGACTAATGACTGTATTCCCATTTGATTAACAAGAAAAGCTAGAAACGTCCATGATACTGGAGAGTTACAATTTCTACCATTTGCCCATTCCTTAAAAAGGCAAACTTGTCCTTTAGAGGTGACCCTTTGTTCCTATTGCCTATGCAAGTGCTTCTCCAAAAGTAGTCATTTCAAAAAGAAAGACATGGAACTTATCCCAGGTTGATTTTCTTAATTTTCTTTTAGTTGATTTAGTCAAAACCACAATTAATTTGTGTCAAAGCTTAACCTAAAGCAGCAGTTCTGTTCCATAATTAAAAAAAAAAAAAGTATCTTCCTGAATGTAGTGATGAGTGCAAGATGATAAAACCATAGCCACGTGCATGCGGGATGCTTCTCCGATCCCTGAGGTCTGCTGGGAATTGAGGGCTGGAAACTGTTCTGTAGCACGTGACATGGCGCTCATTCCTCGACCAGGAAACAGATCGTGGCCACCTAGCAGGAGGTGGGAAGCACAGCAGTGCATTTCTAACCAGTTAAGACCAGTCAGCTACACGTTCAAGAGTGATTTTTTTGTTTGTTTTGAGAGCAATGTTTTTTTAAACAATATTCAACTCTGAAGAAAATAGACTTCTCCATTGAATCTAGATGGAGGTGAGAACAGGTAAGAATGAGGGAAGAGGAAAAACTGGAGGAACTA